ACTTCGGAGTGTTCGTGCAGATAGTGAAAAGCCTATCACTGACAATTTTAGTAGTCTGGGTGAGCGGGGAAGAGTCTATTGCATCAACAACGGCTTTAGTTTCCCCAAATATGACCAGCATGTGCAGTGCTATTGTGTTCTATGACATTCACCTCTCAAATCAACTTCACTTGCTGGTCAAATGTACCAATAACACATCTTACATCTTATCATTCACCTGTTTTCTAAAGTGGATGCTAGTGAATGAAATGTATTTAATTTCTGCCGAACGGCTGAAAGATACTCACTGGTACCGCCACGACAGCATGTTTTTGCGGTGAAAATATCCCTTGTAGTACGAAGGATTGGCCATATATATCTAGATATTACGAATTTTCAGAAGAAGACGAAATTCTGTCTTGGTGCTTCTCAGTCGGTGGAATCTTGGCTTCATGGCTGCCCTGCCTAGTTTGGATACTTTTGTATATACAAACCTCCATATATGACTACGAGTTCGCTCCCTTTGTTCCGATAGTTGTAAGAAGGAGCGCATGGAACGAGCTCTTTCATTGATTTAAACTGGCGGACGAAAACGCCCAGTCCTCCCAGACCTGCCGAGCTCTCTTACTACATGTCATTGATACATTAACGAGAATCGTTTTCAAGCATTCAATCGATCGTTTTTTTTTTCCTCCAATAGCCAGCAGATGCACACTGAAGATTGATTAGATCAGCAAAATGCGAGTCCTAAATTTGCTTAAGAGTTCCATGCATTGAAAAGGCACTAGAGAAGCATCGCTGATCCTCAAAGGATACGCGACGGGGCAATATTGTTGTGAACGTTTATCAAATTAATATTCATATAATCATTGAAAAAGTGAATTCATACTTTGGTCTTTTAGATAACAGATGTGCATTAACTGGACACCGATTCAAAATGGCAGTCTCTCCCCCGAGAACGCCGGACAACAATGCTCTAGAGAAAGCGATACTGAACGTAGAAATTCACAAGAATGACATCGAGAAACCTCGAAAATTTGGACAAAGTCTACGGAAATACACAATTTTAAGGTGTCGATTGAAATCTCTATCTAAGACAACGAGATCGACTCCTCGCATTCTATCCTTTTCCTAAAAAGCGCAGCGATCAAGCTCTCTCGGTCTAGATGCATGAGCTCAAGTATTCTAGACGTAGTATCGACCTAACCACTACTACTGTATTGTCGATCTTGATGAGAGTTTTTGAAAGTATCTTAAACAGGAGATCACCCTTTTCAAATCATTCGCCTGAACTGTTTTCTCACACTCAAGGCAGATTTACTTCTTTCCGTCATGTGTTTGAGATCAATTTATTCACCTCAGGATTTCCAATAAATTATCACTATAGGCTACGAAAACTAGTTCAAAATAGACCCAGACTGCAAGCCCAGAATCTCCTCGCACGCCTCAACACTTGCTTGAATCCAAATTCTACTTTTTAGATCCCCTCCACATTCTCCTGTCACCCCCGTATCTCTATCAGACCTTTGTCCGATTCATATTTGTGGAAGGGTTGTCTATTGATATCTCTTACCACTCCACATCCTGTAATATCTTATTTCATAAATTCAAACCCCAAGAATCTTCGGACGTCTTCAAAGCTCACCAGAATCCCATCAATGCCAATCTCATTACAAACCACAACCTCGCCATCCTCACCATTTAAGTACTTGTCTGGGTGCTCTTCTACGCTTGTGGGTAGAGGACGAACGTATATAAGCTGCTTATGCGTCATAGAAACTGTGAATCCAGACACCTGTGTGCACTCAAAATTTAGCTGCTATCGATTCACTCGCTTTCTAAACATAGAACATAGCTGGATACCCAATACTCGTTCGAGGAGGGCGTTGATCTCAGAAGCTGATTTCGTGATATATTCCACAATTTCATTAACCTGATTGAAATAAGTCTAGTAGCAACAAGCATAAAAATTAATACGTAAAGCCATAATAAAAACCGATATAATATGCTAATAAGCTAAAAATGCATTCTACGATCTATCTATGTACTATATATGTGACTTGGGACGATGTTAAATCCTTCCGCTCACTCATCCCCTCAATAGTGCTCCTTAGTATGTGCACAGCTTGTATCATGACGCATTCTTATGTAGTACCGATCCTCAATCTTACACCATTCCATACTATCTCGTATCCGAGTAGCCTTCTCAAATAATCAATTAAAAAAAACAAAAATGTCTACCATCCTTTACCTCCGGCAATCTCCTCGTCAACACTTTCCCACCCTGCAAAAACACCCTCAATCATCTTAGCCCCCAATCCTGGATCCTTAGATCCTGTAGTTGCTCTGATACTGTGCATACTAAGTTGGGGGATTCCAACATCAATAGCTCTAACGCCCATTGCAGAACTCAACATCGGTCCTACTGTACCTCCCGATCTAGAATCATTTCTGATCATAAAAGTTTGCAACTTTTGTCCGCATTTCTCAGCCAGTCTCTGGAAAATAGCGGTCGAGACAGAATCCGTAGTAGTGTGACCATTACTATCTGCTTCAACTGTCAATCCTACATTAAGTCTAGGACAATGATTCTCGAGGTATTTTTCCAGGAAATTAGGATTTGTAGCATGTGTAACATCGAAGGAGACGAGAAAAGACTTGGCATATGTTTCCATCAGAATATTGGGGCTGTATGTGGAATGATTGAAGCACTCCACGACACGTTCAATTGTTCCGGGGAGGAAATTACCCCTTGCACCCTGACGCAAGAGCGAGCCAATCTCTTCGTCATCGAAAAGAGCAACCATGGAAATGATACCAGATGATTTGGAATCTTCAGAGGAAGAGTTGGAGAGTAGGGCCTCAATGGAAGACCAGGAACAAACTTTATCATCAATACGTCCTGAGAAGATGAATTCCTTGTCGAGCCCACCGAGTTGAGATGGCTGGGTATCGAAGAGTTCGAGTTCCCAGTTGATGATGGTTTCTTTATTTTCAATGCCCAATTCTTTGGCAATAAGATTGACAAGTTTTGGTGGTTGGGTGGAGACAAATGAAGATTTTGCACCGGATATGTTTGATGTTTGAAATTGCTCGGATGATGATGAGGATGAAGCCGAAGATTCAATATCGGAATTGTCGAGACCAATGATTGGTACGAGTTGGGTTTCCTTATTGTTCTGACCAAACATTCCAACACCAAAGTGGGGAGCTAGAGTTGGAATGCGTGCAATTGGCCAACCCAGTTTTACCAATTTTTGAGAAATGTATCCAGTTTTCTCATCTTTGACCAAAACTCTACCACCAATACCAAGATCTCTATCCCACCATGTTTCATTCAATGCGCCAGCATAAGGAGCAACTCCGAGCTGTACAAATCCAGCTTTATTGTGTTTGGTACTGATGGGCTTCAGGCGAGCTGTGAGAGAATCAGAGTGTGCGGCAACCATTGCTATTCCATTTCCAGATTTGTATGCACCACCAACGGAAAATGCAATCAAGGATGTTCCGTTGCGGTTCACGTAGTATTTTCCGTTGGGCTCAAGCTTGCCATTCCATGAATCACGCGGAGAGAGCTATTAACAAGATATCATTAGCGTTGTGCTTCTTGAATTCGAGTGTGCATTTGAATTCAACTGTGAAGAATCGGAATGATTGAGAGTTGCACTAACCTTAGAAAACCCAGCGTCCTCCAACTTGTTCTCCCAATACTCAATAGCATGCCAAACTGTTGGGTTCTCCGTCATGAAGTTGATGAACGGTTCTGCATATTCTTCGGGATCTTTGAGAATGGTCGCATGCTTCGCGGAATTGGGCGCTTTGGTATCTAAATTGCGAGGAATAAGAGAATCATTGGGTGAGTGGAATGCTTCGAACAAAGTTTGTGCACCACTCGTAGCATTAATTTCCGTCTCGGCGGATGGGAATTGGTAAGATTTTCTCATCTTCTCGAAGAGTGTTTCAATCTTCTCCTGTTCTAAGCGCGCTTCTGAGTCGATGGAACCTGGAGGGCCCCATGAATCACCCCCAAGGGAACGAATCGGTAGACTTTCACGGGCTGTGAAAGACTCCTTATTATTCGGGTCGGTAGGTTTAGAGACCGCCAATTTCATTTTGGCAAATTCCCCCATCAACAGCTCCTGGGTAAGCTTCTCGTCAGAAGCAATCTGTTTCTCCATGGCAGCTTTGTGAAGAGAGGCGGTTGACGGCTTGTTCCTAACCATTGTGTTGTTGTTACTGGGAGATTGGTCTAACTTGATGTCTGCGGTTTCAACGGTAAATAAAGATAGAGGGAGCGATTGCCAATATAGGTAGTGAGTGTAGAGCGGTAGTGAATCTGACTAGGCAGATGTCGTTAATGTGAGTTATGATTTGATGGAAGTGATGCAATTGATGTAAGATTGATTGTGAATGGAGTATCAATACCTACCTAATACATAGATTCCGAACAGTAACTATGATATGAGAGTTGAAAGTCAATTGAAGGCAAAGATGGGATGTTGTGATTATTGTACTCGATTGTCTATTGTTGTCTTAGATGTACAGCCTCTCCAATATTGAGCTACACCGATACCGATACCTAGTCTTGGCGATAGCCTTAATCCACATCGCCAAGTATGCACTGTACCTGAACCAAGAGATAAGATCTCACAATGGAGACATGTATGTACCCTCCAACGTCAACGTCAAGTCAATAGGTTTACCACCGGATTGTACCTAGTATATCTTCACATCAATGATCATCGATCCATCACAAGTTGATGAGTGTTTGGATACTGGAAAGCACAAGAAAAAAACAACGTTGTTGGTCAAAATCCTTTTATTTCGATTGAGACTATGTTCTGTGGAGAACCTAAGCTTCTGCCAGGCGGTATCATCCATCATAAAAAGCCATGCATGCTATATATATAAAATTCGTCATCATCATCGGCAATCTCCTAATTGAGACAAAGAAATCCCATCAATTCATCATACTGTCAATTCTGATATCCTCGATCGATTCCGTGCTCTCAATTGTTGATTTACCAGTTGTTGTCGTAGCTGTTGAAGTGCTCTGGGGGACCACGTTGGTTTCTGTAAGAAAGGGCATGTTAGTAAAAGGGTAACAACAAAAGCAAAAAAGAGATAACATACGGGTCGTATTGATCATCCTGGCCATAATGTTGATCGTACAAGTGTTTGGCTTGTTCCTCTGACCTTTCTCTCATTCGATGCTCACGGATCCAGTCCTCACCCTTGGTCTCAGCCAACTTGTCGACTTCAGCGGAGGCGAAACCGGCGAGAAGCTCCTTAGCAAAAGCGTGGGAGACTGGCTTTCCTATGGAACGTATTCGAGTCAGTACATTGATTTGAGTGGAGGTTGAGAAGTGAGGATTTAAACATACCTTCCTTGCGTTGTCTGTCTTCGAACATCTTCATGGCGGCGAAACCAGCACCTCCTGCGAGAACCTCATGACCGAGACTGGCAGTGTCTTCGCTTTGGTATTGGTCGTAGTGTTCTTGAGATTCGCCTAAGTGGAATCGTATGTTAGTATAAGCTTCATCTTGTATGGAGTGTCAGAGTGAAGGTGGAAGACGTACCCCAGCCGAAAACCATTATGATAGATTTATGTGGTAAAAGTTAAAAAGTTTGAAGAGTGTGGTATATAGTTGTAGACTGAAGTGATGTAGAGATGTAGAATTGTAGTTGTTGATGAGAAAAGGGGAAGAAAGATGTTGCGGAGGGGAGATATGAGGGGTTTAAATAGATGGAAGTGTTACCGTCGAACCCTCACCCCTCTTTGACTATGCCTTTACGGATTTCATACATTCACACCCGCCTACCAGTTAACTAGTACTTCTTAACCAAAACGAGTAGCATATGATTCACCGTTTAATTCCATTAAGTATCAAGCCCCGCTTATAGGTAACATGAATGAGTGTATCGTACTCAAGTAGGTACAGAATGTGTGATCTAACCAAAGTTGTACGGAGTAGACATTCAAGGAGAATATCTTGGATGGGGCCATACAGCTTCCCCCTTTACTGTCTATGGTCATGGTGATTCCTAGTCATCGTAATTCACACCTCGTACCTCATACCTCATCTTGCTTGATCTTGTTTTTGATGGCAACAACTTTTCAGGGTATCATATTGATGAACCCCACATTGCATGAAACTAATACTCAACCCACAATCTACCGGGCACTCATAGACAAGTGTCAAGTTCTTCCAATAGTTTAGCACCTAGTAGTTACACGGCTTGCGTGGCTTGTAAAAGAATGTGATGGAATCATTATATAAAAAGCTTGTTTGGGAAGGACTGGTTTGCTACGAGAGCCAGCCGTGGATACTGATGAATGGATGAATGGATGGATGGATGGATGGATGGATGGATTAACATGCCGTTGTTTCGGTGGGATGGCAGTGGCAGTGGCAGTGGCAGTGAGATGATCATTCTTGCCTAGGTAAGGTTATGCCAAATCTGGAATGCAATGCTCCCTATCCCTCTTTGCTCTGTATATCTATCTGCGTCAAGTATGTATGTATCATTTGTCTTCCTGAATACTGGGTAGCTATCAATGCATGCCATGAACTTTACTAAATTTATTTTGTTGGAGTACTCGTGGAAAACAGAATGATATGGTAGCACATTCTAGAGTCTACGATACATAACCTTACAGGTTACTATATAAAGTAATAAGTCCTCGTACTCGTGGCAGCAAGGGTAAAGCTCCCATTGCATTTGTACAACACAGCTATTGAGGGGCAAAGTTAAAACATAAAGCATGAAATGTGCGGTTCTGAGACTCTCAGACCCCCTCCATGATCACTACATTACCCAGCATCTATGATGATATAGTGAGTACCTATGACATCAAAGCTTCTCTATCTCTTACGATACAATCAAAATTCAGGAGAATCCCTTCACCGGTAGTCGTAAGTAATTCGACCTACTAGGTATTCCGTACGAGTATATCTCAAACTGAACTTACTGAACACACCTACATCTCTCTGTGTCTTGACGCTCGAAACCCCAAGTCTCTAACATATTACATGGTGAATCCAGAATTGAGAAACCAGATCTTCAGGGTCGATCAATCAGCCTATGACACGCTGACGAAAGCTCCGAAATCCATGAAAGGGCCATGAAAATATACATCATCACAATCACTTGGTTCCCAATCATTTGGGGGAAGTACGAAGTGAGGAGTCTTAGACCATCCGACCACCGTGGCTTTACCACTTTCATCTTGCTTTAGATTATCGTTGGTACTGTTGGTGCTGTTGGTCCCCATCAAGGTTATAGATTGCATTGCTTGACTGCTACTACTTCACCCCTCCATGCGTGCATGCATCGGATTCGGATGGGTGGTTGGATAAGTGGATGGGTGGATGGGTGGATGAGGAGAGGAGGGGTTCAAACACATTCATCAATCCTGGGATAGCTGGACCCTGTCTTCAAGTTGATACCGCAAAATACAATTTGGGGAATATTATAGAGACCATTATAGCTCCTTCTCCCCCCTTGAAATATCATCGGCGTGCGCGTAACATTGTAGAATGTCCAACTGCGACCAATGATAAGGGCACGTTGAGATCAAACTGGTGCAGCCATGCAAGATGCAGGTGTCAAGTAACCCTCGCTTCTGGCGGTAATGCACGATAAAACCACAGACAAAAAGAGTTCATTCGTCTGTCAAACGGGCATCGCATATATGAGTTGAAGCATCGATTGAAGCACCAAGCAAGGTTCGAGACAGACACAAACGTAATCGGTACTCTACATCGTATACGGGACCAACCAGTAACAACCTGGGATACCTGGTAAGCATAGGGCGAACGAACGACATCGAAGCTTTAACAAGCTTCCACTCTCTCCCTTCCGCTCCTTCGGCAATTCCCACTTTGCAACCAATAAATAGATAATGGATACCTTCCTGGCGAGCCTGGGTAGGTTCTACTAGATAGTGAAATAGTTAAGGGTTCAGCTGAACAAGCTTCATTGGCTTCTCCATAATTATGGCTTGGTCAGATGCTTGTTTTATCCAGCGAGGATAGCCTTGTAAGCTTTCAAGGTCGGCCTTTTCGTCATTTGCATAATTTAATGAGCGTTCAAAGTTTTTATGAATATTTTATGTACCCACTTGCACCTGGGCGGGAAATTAATATTGAATCAGCCTCGTCAGAAAAACAAGCAAGGCTGACGAAATTCGAGGTGGAAGAAAACAAGAGTAAATATGACAACACCACGTCTGCCAACTGTAGATGATCTACCAAGGAATCTATTATGTGATATTCTACCATCCAAAGATGGAAAGTATACCAACATTTTGATTCTGCTTCATGGCTTGGGGGATACGAAGAATGGATTCACACAGCTTGGTGAGATCTTATTTACCATATTTGCATTTCCTCCCCTCCCCCCAATACCTCTCATATTGCCAACACCCTCTCATGTTTTACAGTTTTTATCATTTCACTAACTACTCCGTCAACTAACACTTCCGCTCAGCCAAAAACTTATCTCTGCCTCAAACTGCGTCCTTAATTCCTCAAGCTCCAACCCCAATTCCCGCCCTCATAACTGGTTCCGACGTACCTTCTTTCCATTGGGCACGCGATCTTGAATTCGACTCTACGACTGGCTCTCTAGACCTCGATGCTGATCTCACACCCTCTATCACAATTCTGACTTCTATGATTGAGATGCTTATGGAATCATGTAATTACTCGCCGAGAAATATATTTCTCTTTGGGTTTGGACAGGGAGGCATGTTGGCTCTTTCGACTCTTGCACAAACTACCTCTTCACTCCTCAAAGATGTGGAATTGGGAGGAGCGATTTCAATCGGTGGACGACTTCCTACCTCTTTTTCTCCGCCTTCAAATTCAGCGACAACTCAAAAGGATAACAAAGGGAAAGTCAGAACACCAATTTTGGTAGCGGGCGGAAACAGAAAGTCTGAAATAACAAGGACAGCGTTGGAAAAGGTAAAGGGTACATTCGCGGAAGTAGAGTATGTTAAATGGGAGAGGGAAGGTGATGGTATGATGAGGGGGAGAGAGGAGGTGCTGCCACTAATGAGATTTTGGGGTAGGAGGTTGAAAATGGGGGCTCCGGAGGGGATGACTGAGGTTTGAGATGGAGAGGTGAGGTGAGATGAGGGAGCATAACGAGAAAGTAGGACGTTATGAGTGGGATTTGAGTGGGTTGATTCGTCAATGATACTCAGGTTTCAATTTCAAGATCCCGGGGGTCGAAATTGCCGGCGGCATATTGCTTTGGCCTACAACACACTGCAGACAGTTCTGTATAGGTGTTTGACTACATCTCTGCTATCCATACTCATCTTTCATTGTCTAGGTATGAGATAGTGAGCTTATATTGCTATGGATAATTCAATAGGCTTGGTCTGGGTAAGGGTACCGAAGGGGAAATCATTTCCTTCTTGAAGTTAGGAAATAAGATATTCTAGAGACGATTCGTTTCACATGGCAATTTTAGAATGCTCAGAGATAGCACCGTGGATATAAAATGGTTGAGTATGCTTCAATCATCAAAGAGCCATCAGCAAGAATCTCAGATAGATGTCGATCTTCGCGTTTGCCATTTGCTCATAGTGTTCCGCAAATTATCATTATCATCAATTATCTGATAACCGCAGCTATTTATTCAGGTTTTATATCATCTCCCATTTGTCTTCCTCGTTGTCATTTTTTCTACATTCAATTTCCCCTCCCAACCTCCAACCCTAATATCGTTTACCCAAAAGTAACCCATCGCTGTTTACTTTTTTATATATTCTTGAAACTCGCTTTCTCTAAATAGAAATCTTATTTCATGTTTAATGTACTGTATTTTTCCCTAATCTTTATCATTCTCGAAAATACAAGTATTTCCTTATATGTCTAGGGTCGACTTTTTAATTATATACTTTGGGACCACCAATGTTTGGGAGTTGTTTTCAAGGTGTGCTTATGGAAGTCATTTGTTTATTTACTCTCATATGCCAATAGAAATATGCTCGCCTGAAGAGTATATCGAAATGAGACGATGCCCGAGGGGTAACTGCCGTCCAAGTATGTCAGATTTTGAAAGGCAAAAGATTGTGAGGAACATTGTAGCCCTTAAATCTACCATTAAAAAAGCATGAGATAGATATGCACAAGAGATGACTGTGACGCCTAGGAAGGACTGATCCTCGTTGTCATTTAAGTTCCTGAAATATAAACCCAGCTTTCCTTTGATTATGATTCACTCATTTTTGTACCAAATCACCACTATTCTCTTTCACTCTTTTTCATGAAGATGCGCGTTCATGTAACTTAAATCCTTCTTAATATGTTTAATTGCCTCATCTCTTCCTACCAGAGTCTTGACCTTTCTTACAGTCTGTATTCAAGTGATGCCTGGTCTTTCGAGAACTACGTTGTGGCTCTCAAAGATGTGGTTATGCTAATCCCGATAATGCCTGGGTTATTATATCTTCAGAAACCTAGAGAAGACGGATTATTAATTTGCTGCTGGCGATACTTACGTCTCTTTGTATGTTGTTTTGTGCGATTGCTCATCGACGATACATCTTTTCTCATTCTACCCAGGTACATTTGTTTCAACGTTTCAACCCCCTTTAAACCCATACTTTATTCTGTATCATACGTCTAATGGAACTCACGCCTTGCATTATCAAATGTGCTCTGCTTTTTCGCGCCTTTCCTTAGCTTTTATACTCAAGATGGCGAGAGCTGGCGGGGTCTACAGTCGCAGTCTGGCTTGATGCCCGACGATGAAAGCTTTTAATTTCTAAATTTACTTGATTCTGTCAGATGAGTTGGGATTCCCAGTTCGAAATGAAGACATGCTCTCTCGACTTAAGAGACTCGGAAGAAATCAAATAGCTGATAAAGGGGCCATTTTTATTGTAACTCATACTGGAGGAAACATGAGCAGACTTTATTTTTTTCTTGAGAATAATTACAAATTCTAGATTCCACTATGGATAGCTTCTGTGACCACCCGAATTTACCACCGTCACCTCTATTTGTGTATGCGGGAGGGATCGTTCAGCGAATTGACATGGTCAAATCAGATGCTGGTCTCGGATGTTAGAAAAGCCCGAAGGCCCGGTTACCGAAGCATACTTGATCCCACTTACCGGACGGGGACACATGGTGTTCTCACGAAGGATCTATGACTATGCCAATTCGCATCGAGAAGCGAATTCAAGTGAGCAATTCACCAAATCACATCAAAATCCATACATGCCAAGGCCATGCAAATGTATCATACCGCTGGTCTTTGACCATACTAGGTTCAGTTCTAAAGTGCTGCCTAAATAAGAAGTTGTTTTGATAAGCATCTCGAAACTCATATAAAAGCATATGAAGTATGAAATCAAAATAACAATGCAAAACATAACCAGAAAGATGGTGCCTATGACTACACCTAAATTGAAAGTCCTGATTTCAGGTGCTGGCATCGCCGGGCCATGTCTCGCATATTGGCTTGCTAGAACCGGACTCACCGCTTCAATCACAGTCATTGAGCGATCACCGGTTCCAAGAACCACTGGACAAGCGATCGATATTCATGGTGCAGCTACTGAAATTGCGAAGAAAATGAAACTTGAGGAAGCTATTCGCGCGCGAACGACAACCGAAGCGGGTACGATGCTTTTGAATTCTTCAGGGAAGCCATTCGCGACATTTCCAGTTGGTGACACCTTCACATCACGTTACGAAATTTTGCGGGCTGATCTATCTGATCTCCTTTTGGAAGCTAGCAAGAAATTCGATAATATCAACTATAAGTATGGTGATTTTGTCCAGTCTCTTAATCAGACGGAGACGGGTGTCGATGTACTTTTCAATGGGGGAGCAAAAGAGACATTTGACTTAGTTGTAGGTGCAGATGGGTCCACATCAAAGATTCGATCTATGATTCTGGAAAAGGAAGCCCTGAAAGACAGCTACAACTTCATCGGTCAATACATCGCTTTCTTTAGCATCCCAAGTCAACCAAATGATTCGAAATATTGGGAGATCTTCAATGCACCAAAGGGTCTGTGTATGATGACGCGACCACATCGAAATCCCTCTACCAAAGGCGTTTACCTGTGTATCACGATGCCAAAACACGGAATTTGCGACCCAGTAGTGGAGAAAGCCATGGAGGGAGGGGTTGAAGCAACGAAGCGTATGCTACATTCATACTTCGAAAATTGTGGTTGGGAAGCAAAGCAAATATTGGAGGGATTGGATAAGTCCGACGACTTTTATATGGCCAAAGCCGCACAGGTCAAGGTACCAAAATGGACGAATGGGCGTGCTGTAGTGATTGGAGATGCTGCAATGGCAACCTTCGGCGTTGGGACTACTTTGGCTATTGACAGTGCCTATATCCTGGCCGGAGAATTGTCAAAAATAAAGAGCAGTGCTGAAATTCCAGAGGCGTTACAGAGATATGAAAAGGCATTCCGGCCAATTTATAAAAAGATGGAGGACCTTCCACCTGGCTTCCCACAACTTGCTATGCCTCAAACTAGATGGGGCCTGCGGATTAGAGATTCAATAATCTGGTTTATTGGTAAGACAAAGGTACATAAACTTCTCCCTGAAGATCGGAGCACCGATCATGAGTTGCCGAAATACGATTGGATAAAAAGTTAAAACGGAAATTATGATGGATGGGCGAGGAACATCAGGCAGAGAGAATTGCGCCATTGCTAGAATTTATAATAACAGTTATAATTTACATGAGTGGCGAGAAAGTAAGCTCGATAGTTAGCCGAATTATAAATAACCAGTTATTGAAGAACTGATCAGTATAAAGTACAAGAACCTCATTCAAGACCGTTTCTCAACCCTCAAATCCCGCCAGAATTTTCCCGAACATCTCCCCCATCCTCCAGCACCCAAGCCCCCTCAAACCTCTCCCCGCCCTTCTAATCGCTTCCTTGACTTCCTCCCTCTCCGCACCCTCCAGCCGCGTCCTTAACTCTTTATAAACCCAGCAGACCAACCCCCCCGTGAAAAGACATACCGCAATCTCATAGCTTGCTTCTTCTGTTCTCTCGCCGGCTAGTCCCATTGTTCCTAGTATACCATCCCCTCCACTCCTATCCCTCAATCTTATGCATTCTTCAGATAAATTGAGCATTTCATACACATTTCTCATTGTTCCACCGACAATGTCTGAGTTTGCCCAATATTTCAGGTTGATTGCCGCAAAATCGCAATCTTGGCGACTTGAAGACCGACCTGCCATTAAGTGCACATCACTCAGACTAACGTCCAAACTAACGAATCCCAGCGCGCAGAGAAGCCTTCCAGCTACAGATATCTCTCCGGGAGTTGCCCCGTAGCATTCATTCCACGAATCTAGTGCATCAATTAACCATTTTCTTCTACTCAAAAGCCCAGCACCAATATCCAGTGCGTGATTGCCCATGGTGCCCATCAATCCTGTAGGATTTAACATAGAAACTGATGTACGCCAGTCAAATATCAGAGTGTGTATTGCATAAAGAACGAGGGTTTTCCCAAAGACTGTAGTTGGGATGACAGGTGGAGGAGGCTTAGTCCATTTATGAAGAAGGATACCATTCAAAGCATGGAGATAATATGTTGCAGGTGGGATGTCGGCTGGACCAAGAAGCATCTTCCAGGCTTGTGGTGATGGCGCTTCCCAATGCTGTTCCGGGCACGGGAAGACGCAATTCGTGGTTTCCGCTCTACTAATAGACGGTTGCACATTGAACAGGGTAGCGTATTGGCAGTCAAAAATCTGTTCAAGTGTCAGCAACAAAAATGCGAGTGATAGAGAAAGCATACGTAAATAGACAGCCCAAGCCGCTTTCTTTTCTCGGTCTCTATCCACGAAAACCATTCAATCTCTTGTGGTGAGCTTCTGGGTAGCGAGCTTGGATCAAGCTGCACTCTCGAGATTGGTCTACAATCCAGCAAACGAGCTCGTCGACCAGCCGTTATCAGAATACCCTTCACACCTTCAGCGAATTCGTACATTTTCTTACTTCCACCCCAAGCTCCCGCGAGTAAAAGGTTAAATAATGTAAAGATGTTGTCAAGAATCCGAAGCTACACAATTGTTAGCTATGAGAATCACTGTTGGAAGACTAACTAACGTGTTTCTCTTCGATCTCATGTAATCTCATGCTCGCTACCCTTGCTCGATTATGAAATAGCCGTAAGAATCTGCCACGATCTGCCCTTGAATAACATGAACCAAGAAACATCATCGACAACACTAGAAGAGGAGAGCTGGCGAAAATGTCAAAGGTTGGAACATGGGCGATAGGAAATCGCGGATGCACATGTCGAAAATAAAGTCGGAGGAAAAAATCCAGTACTTCTGAGGGTGGAAATGTCGAGACATTTATTTCGACATACACCGCATCACCTGATTCGGCAGGAAATTCAATTTGTAACATGCTTAGTAGCGTGGATCTCAATACATCGTTCACCTGCTGGCTTGGACCTGCCGTGAAGCCGCTCCTTCTCGCTTCGTAAGAAGTTGCATGCCATGATTCTGGACCTA